CCACCAAAGAATGTTATTGCAGAACAAAGTTCAAAATAGATTAATGTGTGCAATTGAAGAGATGATAACAATATTATAGGTTTGGTTTGGAATTTGGGGAAAATAATTAAAAATGGTGGGTAGAAGTGGGGTTAGAAAGAGATTTAAAAGGAAGTGGAAAAGGTCACAAGCTTTTTTTCCTGCCAAAAGTCAAATAGGCCCCTCATAGCATCAATAATCACTATGATATCTTTCACTGCTGATGATGCAGAGAGGAGGAGATTTCCAACCAAGATTCATCATCATTGTCATTTGGTGTATATATAATACTTTTACTTATTTATATATTATATTATATATTCATTGTTAGTTGTTACTTATTTGTTTATATTTTGTTGGAGGCTATAAAGAGACCCTAGTTATTATTTAAAAAGAAAGCAAGGAAAACACGTTTGGTTATTCTCGGAAAAAGGCCTGTCCCTCCAATTTTGTTCCGTATACCATTTAAATCTGCAAACGTTTACATTACATTATCCTACAGCATATATTTTAGTAAACCATTTACGGAACAAAATTATATGCAGCTTGTCCGTGTAACCGAATACCAATTTTGTCCCGTATATCAATTAAAATCAAACGTTTACATTCCAATACACGGATCAAAAATATATGCAGTAGGGTAATAATGTAAACGTTTACAATTTTGTTCCGTATAACATTTACTAAAAAATAGCAGTAAAAAATTTTAGAAGTATTTAATACATATTTTTTTTTTTTTTTGAAAACTTTTTAAATATATGCATTAATTGCTTATATATATGTATGGTGCATGGTTTGTAATATTTATGCATACTTCAATTGTTATAAAGACCACACTAGATCGCTTAATGTCAATTTGCAAGAACAATACTATGAAAGAGAAGAGTTCAAGGAGAATGAAGAATCAAAATTAGTGATTATGTATGCATTGCTAGATAAATCCTATGGGACAACATTTTTTAACCAATCTTATCCGATGTTTATTAACAGAGATCAGGATTGGAATCCTATGTGTCATGTATGTGGCAGGTGGGCACACGCATGTACCCATGACTGACAAGATAATACTATTACATCTTGAGTGTGGGATATTTTTATCCCAACACAAAATGGCATTTAGTCCAAAAAATTACATGTATAATGTCCATTATACCCTTGAATGTCCAAATAATTACAAATTTAGTAAAGCTGACTCATGGGGTAAAAGCTGACTCATAGGATTAAACAATCATATCCCATCCCTTCAAGTAAACGAGGCCTAAGTGTAAAAATAAAGAAAGTGCTATTTACAAAAGGAAAAGTACAGGTCTTGGGAGATGTGGTTGTGATGAATCCAAAGTGCATAAGTCCGGTAAACACATAGAGAGAAAGTATCACCTTGTACGAGAGATCATAAAACGAGGAGATGTAGTTGTGACGAAGATAGCATCGTAACCTAGCTGATCCTTTCACAAAGACTCTAATGGCATGATTGGTAGGAAAGAATGAGATGAGAATGGAATGATCATTCCCTTACTCATTCCTAATCCCATGATTGGTATATTTTTTTGGAAGGAATGACCATTGAAATGGGAATGGCAAAACCCATCTCCATGGGATTAACCATTCCATAGTAAACGGAAGGTTTTCTCACTCCCATGTGTGTAGGAATCAACTTTTCAAAAAATAAAATTAACAAATAATAATAAAAAATAAATATATAATATATATGATAAATCATGATTAAAAGATATTAAATAAAATTATTTTTAAAAATAAATTCAAATAAAAAAATTAAAAACTTACTTTTATTTATATTTTAATTAGATATATTAAATACTTATATAAAAATAAAACTAAAAAAAACATTTATATATATTTTAAAAATATATTATTTTATTTATATATATTATTAAAAATATATTATTTTTTATATATTAAAAATGTATTACTTTTAAAAATATATTAATGAAAAATATTAAAAATACATATTATTTAAAATATATTAATTTATTTTTAAATATTAGTAAAAATATATTATTTTAAAAAATAAAATTCAAATAAAAAAATAGAAAACATAATTTTATTTACTGTTTAATTAAAAAATAAAGTATATTATTTTATTTTTATATATTATTAAAAATATATTATTTTTATATTATTAAACAATATATTATTCAAAATATATTATTAAAAATTATATTATTTTAGTTTTATATATTATTAAAAAGCATTTATATATAATTTATTAAAAGTATATTATTTTTTAAAAAAAGCTTTTATTTATTTTTATCATAAAAAATGATAATGTCATTCCATTCCAGTCATATTCCTTCTGCATACCAAACGCATCAGTGACAAACATGTTTCATTCCATTCCCATAATCATTCCATTCCTACGAAATTTCATTCCATCATACCAATCATGCCATAACTATCAAGGTTTTCGAGAAACACGTAGAGGGTTTTGGTTTACGATGTGTTGCAGTTAGACGTTAAGTATAAGTGGGAGAATTGTTATGTCATGTATTATTATACTAAAAGTTTAACTTAAGTATAAGTGAAAGATTGTTGGAGTATACTGTAAAGCAAACTTTTATATGAGTTTTTAGAATTTATTTATTCGATTTCTCAGTTAACTGAAATAAATGTTTTCACATTGTTGCACTCTTTATGGTTGCATGTATGCTAAATGTATAACTATCTTATATTGTAGACAATGTGGTGTGTGAGTAGTCACACAGAAGATTACATTGTCGGCTCCTTATAAGATATAAACAATATTCATACCTGAGATGGTTATGGAATAGACTAACAGTTTAGGTTGTAGTATAAATTGAATGTAGCTTGTCTTGTCTATTGGTTTATACTAGTGCAATGTGTCGCATTGAAAGGATCACAGTTGAGACGTGCTCTTCTGTTCTGACTGTCATGGAGAACCAAGGTCTCGATGACTCTACTAATTCTTAACCCTAACTGTGATGCTTAGATATGTGGGATATTTGTCTGTTACTTTCACTTATCATGGGTGAGAACCAAGTATTGGTTCAATATGCTCCGTATCTTGTATAACGACATTATCTGCATGATATCTATTTATTGGTATTAGGGCACTGTGTCCTGGACATCCAGGTTGATGGCGTCCCCTTAAGGAACTTATAAGGATTATCGTATTAGAATTTGCAGGTGAATTTAATTCTTACGTGTTGACAACCGACTTGACTTGCTGGGATAAAGACGAAGATTTAAAAGTATTATTCAAGGCTTATTGCTCAAATCACTTCACACACCCAACTTAACACAACTCGGCACAAGCTGGGTAACGAACCGACTTCGTATATAGGCACGAACCGACTTCACGCGTAGCCGTGAACCGACTTCACATTAAAGACAAATGACCGACTTCTTGAAGATTATTTTTCAAAGATTATCTCCACAAACCGAGGTCCGAGATGGCCGAAGCCCAAAGCATGTGAGAAGATCATCATCTTGTACTTTGTTTCAAGTCCTTGTAAATATTGCCATAGAATCCATGAAAGATCACAAATGAGTGCAGTTATGTTGTGGTGAGAAGCCCCACACCAGAAACTTGCCAAAATCCATTTGCAGAACCAAACAACGCTAAAGAATTACAAAAATTGACATGTGAACGTCAATCCAATAAAACATTCCCATTGTCTTTTGTCTGAACATGTTAATTTGTTTTTTTTTTCCTTTATTTTTTTGACATTATATGACATAAGTATTTCATTCCCATAAATCTCCCATGGCAATGAGGTCAAATGTCATCGGACATAAATAGTGCACCCCACAATTGGATTAATCCCATAGCAAAAGTCCATGAGCCACTATTCATCACAATTTTACTTTTGCGCTTTTTTGTTACTTTTTACATTGCCACTCAATAAAAAGATCAAAATTATCTTGATTTTCAACTTCGAGGGGTTGAAAATTGTACATATGTTACAACATTGCAATCTACCGAATGTAGTTATATATTAATTAATTAATTCCAATGGCACAATAATATGATGTAAGTAGGGGATTAACTTTATGCATAGAGGGTCAATTCTGAAAACTCCCTGATCTACTTTGTGAACTGTGCAGGCTCAAATGTTTCAATATTTTCGTGAGTATATACGTAATGTATAGATTCTCCTAATTTTATAGTAACTAATTACAATTAAGAACTCCCTGATCTACTTTGTGAATTGAGCATGTTTGTATACAAAAATTTTACTCAAAATTTCATTCAACTCAAAATTTAACTCAATTTTAACTCAACTCCAATATTCTCAATATTAATCAATATAATTCACTATTCATCCACTCACATAATTTTAATTAACTATCAGTTTATATCATCTTTCTCCTACTTTTACATCAAATCGACTTTATAGTGAAAATCATTAAAAGAAATGATACGCTATATTAATGTTCATCAATATTATTATATTATAGTCAAAATCATTAAAATAATCATTCGATAAATTAGTGTAGCAATTTTGGTGTCTAAACTAACTTAACAAATGAATCACTTTTTACGATTTTGATAAACTAGCGTTTTCTTTTTTCTAAAAAATATACCAATTTAATGGATTAGAAATGAATTTTTGTATAATACACTGTAGTGCTGCACCAACTAATATAGTGGAATAAAAATTTAGATATTTGTCGAGTATACATATATATATATATATATATACGGGTATCTATCTAGTTACTTTCAGAAAAGGGGAAAACGAAAAAAAAAAAAATAACCGAATCTTTGTTCATATAAATTTCCCTTTATTCTACCTCTACAAAAAAAGAAATGTAAAAGAAGTCCTTTCTTTATCATGATTTCATTTAAAACCTAGATTACTATTAGCATAAAAGACACAAATTTTTTGGCACTATACCTCTTGAAGGCTCCAACTCCAGATTTTTCCTATATTTGGAACATTAACCAAAAAAACTGAATTATCCATCTCTCTCATCTCCAAAATTCCTCTCTCTCTCTCAAAAAAAAAAAAAAAGAAATAATAAATATAAAATAGAAAAAATGTCATCTGCACCACAATCCATGCTGAATCAGAGCTTGTTTGATGATCAAGCTGCTGGTGATTTGCTAATGCCATCACAAATTGGGAATTTTTTCCCTTTTCACAGCTCAGCTTATAATAACCACAACATCTCAGCCCTTAATCCTTTACTGAATTGCGGCCAGCCGTCGATTAAAACCCTAGCGCCTCCTTTCTCCTTCTCGGCAGATTCGCCACTCACCCTTAATTCCGACCAGTCTGTTATCACGACCAATCAAAAGGAGGGTTTAACGATGGGTGGGCCCCACATTCTTTCTCTTCATAGATCGCCTTCAAATTACTGGTAAATATATACATATATAAACATTTTATTTTATTTAATTGAATTTTTGGAATTTTTTTATTTTTCATAGCTAGCGCACGGCCTAACTAATAAAGTCTATTGGAATTGTCATGTGTTTTCGGACCAGAAATTAAGGTCATATGTGCATGTTGTATATTTAGTAAAATAAAATGAAAAAAAAAAAGTAAAAAAAAAATATTAATGTTGTTGATAATTAAATTTAATATGATGATTTTAGGGCATGGGCAGAATATAGCGAGTGCATGAGCATGAAGAAAAACGAACATTTAGCGGTATCGGCCGTGAAGATGAAGAAAATTAAGACAAGGAAAAAGGTTAGAGAGCCGAGATTTTGCTTTAAGACGATGAGTGACGTGGATGTTCTTGACGATGGTTATAAATGGAGAAAATATGGGCAGAAAGTGGTTAAGGACACACAACATCCCAGGTAAGATTTAATTTTTTTTATTTTTTTTTCAAGTATCATATATAATATTTGAGCTCGATTAGTTGTGAGTTCAATTTGGCCTGAAAATTCGATTATTAATTATGAATGAGACATTAGAATATTTATATGGGAAGATATCATGCAATTAGAACAATATATGTAATTTTAGTTAATGATGTTCATTTGTTGAGACTGTAATTAATTAATCGATCATTGTTCTCCATTATTAATCCCGTGATCATAATCATCTCGGTGGCTATTAGTACAAAAAAATAAAGGCAAAAGTGTTACTATAATTGTTAAGCAGATTTAGTTTTTTTAGCATAATGTTGATGATGTGATATATAATTGAACCATTAATGCATAATGTCGATTTAATAACTCTTTTTTACTCCGTGTTATGAATATGATCAAAAGCTTAATAGTAAAGGCCAAAAAAAAAAAAGGAAAATTATAGTAATAATAATAAGAGAGTAGTTATAATAATTATCATCCGATTTACCTTATATTGATATTGGCATGAGGATCTACTTAGGGAGATACCCTTTTTCATGATATTACTTTAGGGTTGAGAAAAAGTAAATCAAACTTTTTATTGGCAAATGATTACAAATCTGGTTTTCTTTTTCAAGAGCCATATTTTTCCCCTTTCAATTACCAAAATGTACAAACTTTATATCATCTATATGAACATGTCCAAAAGAGAGCCCACCTCTGCCCAAAAAAGTTTATATTCATGTGTTTTTTCGATCATGATTTCCAGCAATTTGCCAGTTTGCAAATGCATGCCACCATTGATGTACCTCCGTTTTTTTCTCATTTGTC